TATTAATCTCACCTATCATTTACTGAGCTGGTACTCATTATTCATAGAATCTCATTGTTGTAGTCATAGTCACATTCTTTAGACAATAGTTGCTATAACGAACTTTCAATGATAATATAAATGCAATTTATTACTATAGACAACAAAATAAAATTCTGATGTTTATTTCCTGCAATTCTTAGACCAAAGAATTATTACACATTCTCTAAATTAGAGCCGAGATCTGTATCCGTTAACCAATATACAAGGCCCACCACTAATTAAACGCATCCCAACTCGATTTGCGAATTCCTGACATTCAACATCTTCAGCTCCTGGTTGAAGCCATACACACGAAATTCCCAACTATAAAAAAAAAAACTTGAATATTGGAGTTAGACAAAAAAAATAGAAATTTATGTTTTTACCTCTGCAGCCTCTTCTAGAACTTTCTTTGAAACTTGAGAAGGAGTTATAACAGAAACAGAAATGGTTTTGGGATCAATGTTTGATATTGAAGACAAATTTGGAACGCATTTTAAACCATCGATTTCATCTTCATTCTTAAAAAATACAAATTAGAAAAAAACATCATACAGTACATATAAATTATATGCGTAATAAATTGCTGACAAACCGGGTTGACAGGTGTGACAGAGTAATTATTATTCATATACCTGCTCCCCGATATATAATTAATTGTTAATACTAAACAGCAAATCATACAGGAATCCTAGCTAGCTTACTAAAAAAACAACAAACCATTTTAGAACCTTATTCCCGTATTTTGATGGTGTTGAAGAGGCACCAACAACTGCGTAATGAGAAGACGAAAAAAAAATCCTAATTAATTTGGCTGTTTCCACAGAAGTGGTCATGTCCGAGTGAAAGAATCGTCAAAAACCAATCCAGTGTGACCAAAAATAAAAGGGCCAATTTATATTAGCGATAGTCAAATGCAAACGATTATATAAGTAGTAATATTTCCAGAATAGATTAAGGAAAAATATTTTTTTTTGTGAGACAATTAATAACGAAATACTGTATATTCATATACTGTATATAATTTATAATATATGTTCATTGGTATATCACTTATACTATTTCAAAAAAAAATTTTTATTATAAAAAAAAAAAAATTAATCTCGAAGTAAATACGGTAATTACTTGACTGTAGTGTATTTAAATAAAAATTTGAAAACATAAAAATTTATATACAGTATATGCAAATTATTATTAAAAATTATTATAAGCTTTTTTTATGTAAAAAGTTTATTTGATTTTATTATTTTATACACTTGATAAAATAAGGATTTTGACTAAATCACAGTATTATATTTACAGTATAATACAAAAAAAATCAAAAATTTATATTTATTTTATTTTACTATAAATAAATATTAAACACTTAATAAGCAAAAATAAATTTGTAATAAAATTTTTGTTATTATGATTTTAAT